GTCCTATGAGGACACTAGTGGATTGGATGGTCAGGCTCAGTGACTTGGTTGATTGTATGTCCTATGAGGACTCTAGTGGACTGGATGGTCAGGCTTGGTGACTTGGTTGATTGTGTGTCCTATGAGGACTCTAGTGGACTGGATGGTCAGGCTCGGTGACTTGGTTGATTGTGTGTCCTATGAGGACTCTAGTGGACTGGATGGTCAGGCTCAGTGACTTGGTTGATTGTATGTCCTATGAGGACACTAGTGGACTGGATGGTCAGGCTCGGTGACTTGGTTGATTGTGTGTCCTATGAGGACTCTAGTGGACTGGATGGTCAGGCTCAGTGACTTGGTTGATTGTATGTCCTATGAGGACTCTAGTGGACTGGATGGTCAGGCTCAGTGACTTGGTTGATTGTGTGTCCAATGAGGACACTAGTGGATTGGATGGTCAGGCTCAGTGACTTGGTTGATTGTGTGTCATCATTCCCTGACCACATGTATGGTTGTTGCAATATCAATCACTGGTTTGCCTGTTCCAGGCCACGGTCATATTTGTTAAACAAACAGACAAGCAAAACTAAACCACTAAAACACGTTCACATGAGGAAAGGATGACCACCACCTGAAAATACCCAACCTTGATAATCTTGTGTACTAGATCTCCATTATATTGTGATATATCATGAGTGGGTCTTGGTTTAATGCCTATTTGCAGTGTAGCATTATACAACAAACAAACAAACAGATAGCCAAGATTCTATACCTGGAGAGTGTGAGTGAGTGAGTTTGGTTTTACGCCGCTTTTAGCATTTTAGCAATATCACGGCGGGGGACACCAGAAATGGGCTTCACACATTGTAACCATGTCAGGATTCGAACCTGGGTCTTCGGTGTGACGAGCGAACGCTTTAACCACTAGGCTACCCGACCGCCCCTATACCTGGAGAGGGCATAAGACAATTTAATGGTTACACTCTGTGGGAAGGGTTTGATTTAGAGTGTTGTCATCGGTGCAGATCAATAGTGAAATGTGCTCTGACTGTCATGAACGTGTTGTAGGTATCAGCCACTTCTTGATGTATAGAGAGCTTAGCAAAAACAATGGAAGACACACGAGCAGATTGGTTGAGCCAATATTTCCCCGTGAGACGTGGCTTGCATGAACAGTGGTACAACTCTCTAATCTGCGAGCATGGCTGTTGTGCATGGGAGTGGGCTTCAGTTTCATCAGATTACTACTGGGTCAGGGAAACCTTGAACCTGTTCAAATTAAAAATAGATGTTATCAAGACTTGAAAGACCATATTTATTTGAAGTAACTTTTTCGTCCAAATACTTGAGAGAGACACTGAAATATTTATGACTTGCAGGTTTCGATAATTGTGGCATTTCCTGTTGGAATCATGTTGTGATGTGTCATTAATAGGTTAATTGCATGGATAGTGTTGTGATGTATCATTAATAGCTGCATCACATGAATAGTGTTGTGATGTATCATTAATAGCTGCATCACATGAATAGTGTTGTGATGTATCATTAATAGCTGCATCACATGAATAGTGTTGTGATGTATCATTAATAGCTGTATCGCATGGATAGTGTTGTGATGTATCATTAATAGCTGCATCACATGAATAGTGTTGTGATGTATCATTAATAGCTGCATCACATGAATAGTGTTGTGATGTATCATTAATAGCTGCATCACATGAATAGTGTTGTGATGTATCATTAATAGCTGGATCACATGAATAGTGTTGTGATGTATCATTAATAGCTGTATCGCATGGATAGTGTTGTGATGTATCATTAATAGCTGCATCACATGAATAGTGTTGTGATGTATCATTAATAGCCGTATCACATGAATAGTGTTGTGATGTATCATTAATAGCTGTATCGCATGGATAGTGTTGTGATGTATCATTGATAGCTGTATCACATGAATAGTGTTGTGATGTATCATTAACAGCTGTATCGCATGGATAGTGTTGTTATGTGTCATTATTAACTGTATCATTTGGATAGTGTTGTGTTTCTGTAATGTGGCAATACATTTGGGGCAGAAAACACAACAGAAATCAACTAAGATAGTGTATTTCAAGTTTTCGCCACTACAGCAAGCTTGAAACTATATAATTATCTTTTTTGTTTGGGACTGTTTTGTCACAAGATTGGGCACCACGATTTCTTGTGTAGAGTTATGTCCCTTTGACATGCAAGGATCCAGTGATTATGGATATGGTTTCTAGATTCACCCGATTATGATACATATGGTGTCTGAAGTTCCCTCACGATGGAGGTTAATATGTGTTCCTGTCATTATGGTCATTATCAATGGTTACTTAGTGGAATTTTGTGTGTGTGTGTGTTCATTATTCACAAGATCTTACACAGTATTCTGAGTTATGTTATAAGAATTCTCTGTGTTTTCTTTATTTGCAGAGTAAGTTTGGGTCATTGTTTTGGATATCCTCTTTCTATGTATCAACCACGGATGTCTTGATTTCTTTCTGAGACATTTTCCGGTGTAAACAGTAATCAGATCTGTCTGCAGATTTTCTGCTGTTTTTGTTTGTGTTACATGTCAGGGTATAAAAGTTATTTGTCACTGCGACAGCTTCATGGAGACCTTGGGACTAAAGAGGTTCCTGGAACCCCATGCTTGTTGAGAGAGCTGGTTTAAATGAAGATTGGTTGTTTATAATGTGCGGACTTGCAGCTAGTTTCTGTCAAATTGTATGCCAAAAGCATTGATCAGTGCTTGTGCTCTCAACCACAGGTTGTACTGACTCACACTTGATCATGTCAAAGTCCCTGTGACATAGCTGGCATGCTGTTGACTGCAGCGTGAATACATTCACTCGGTAATGAACGAATCTTCCTGACGCAAGTGAGTTTACTGTCTGTGAAAGTCCAGTTTCCACCCTTGCCGGACTAGGCTGGAATTTCTGGGCTCGATCGTACTGCCACCTGTGGCAATAATGAGTTATGTCCCTTCTATGTCCCTCCTATTGACAAATCAGATTCCACCTCTCATATTGCTTGCATTTGCTTTGAACAAAATGGAGGGGCCCAGTCAAAATCTAAACGGGTCATATGTCGCAAATTGTGTCAAATCACGTAAGCACCTTGATGAAAAACATGAAAAGATTTGGAAAATATCTGTTGATGCTGAGTTGGCAGTACACATGCTTTGCAAATCCTGCAATCGACCGAAATCTGCATGACAGTTTACGGACAGCGTGTCAATTTTGTTACGCAATTTTGATTGGACTATGCATAGACTCGTTAGTCCAGCCAAAATTCCAGTCTAGTTTGGCAAGTTTGGAAACTGGACTTTTATAGTCAGTTAACTGCCTTGCCTCGGGAAGATGTAGTGAACGTAATGATTTGACACATTATTCCTGCCTCGATTTATCAATAAATAAACGTTCCGTATTATATTACTTGGTCGTCAGATCCGCAGACCATAAAAATCAATGTGGGTAAACATGAAATATGAGGTTTTTATTACTGTGATGCCTGATAATCACACTTACAAAAACATCACAAATTGTTTCATTGCCTGACTAGTGATACTTGCCAAACAACCATATATGTTTGCTTACAGTACGAGATGTAGCCATGATGGCTACCCTTCATTGCTGTGTCAGTACTCCAAACACTATGTGGCTTTCCCATGAAGATTTTATATAAAAAATAACATTTATTTTTAATTTCACCAAAAATCCAAATGAAAGTTTGAAAACATAATTTTATAATATACCCTTTTATGAAAACAAATTTAATTAAAGTGTCTATTTTTAATTTTTTTCTTAATAGATCACTTACCCAAGAAAAAGCACCTGTACATCAAATACAATAAAGGCCTTATTTGGTTGTTATGATACTGCTGAAGTTGGCATTAAGTAACAGCTCTGCTCCCAGCAACCAGGATGGTTTACATGCATGCATTGCAAGCCAGGGCTCAGTGCGTTCTGCTCGCACAGCTGGAGCGTTGGTAGCAATGCGAGACATGTCAATTACCATTGATTAGTGCTTACGTGACAACTGCTTGAGAGCACCTAGACTGTCACACTGGTGCATTGCGGTGTGGGGTTGTAAATAGCAGGGCAGATATAGATGACAAGTAGCCCTCATGCTTATTGACAGCTGTCAGTTAGTGAAACGGACACTGTTGCTATGCTTGTGGAACTGCCTGGCCAGCTTTGATCATCAGGGGCTTGTGTGTGTAGCATTCACTTGACCTAATTTTGTTTGTTAAACGTAAAGGCAACCGCCAATGACTATATACCGGTAAATGGCCTCTGCAACCGCCAGTTATGTAGTCAGAGCTTGAAACAGAAATAACTCAGATAGGCTGCCTTGAAAACTGATATTGATGTGTTTCCTGATACTACAGTGATTTTGTTTGTTTGTTTGTTTGTTTAATGCTGCACTCAGCAATATTCCATCTGTATGACGGTGGGCGGTCGAGTAGCCTAGTGGTTAAAGCGTTCGCTCGTCACACCGAAGACCCGGGTTCGATTCCCGACATGGGTACTATGTGTGAAACCCATTTCTGGTGTCCCCCGCCGTGATATTGCTTGAATATTGCTAAAAGTGGCGTAAAACCATACTCACTAACTCACTCTATGACGGTGATTGTCAAACTGAGAACATTGATACCTGTATGTTAAAACTCCTTGAGCGTGTTAAACATATTTACCATTTGCTGCAAACTTTCATTGAAATTGTTTTTTTAATTTCATTTTACCACTTTTAGAAATTCTTGTAAACACAAAGGTTTTGATAGAATAGAAGAGTCCTTATTCACTAGAGTGCCCACTTTGATACCTATGAATTTCAAACAGTTGTAAATTTAATTCCAAGGAGAGTATCTGCAAAATCTGAACTACATTGGATACATCATGAATTTTGGAGATAGTAAACATATTTTGAGCTTTTTAAACAATGTATATAAATTAAATAAAAGAATTTTTAAATTAAAACAAGTGTGTTTTCTGAGTTCTGTTTGTTACATGTCTGTGCATACCTCCAATCTGTAGGCTGTATTCCACATTCAGTTCAATATTAATGTACGATTTTAACAGAATGTAACAGGTACCTTTGTACTTTAACAGATTTCAATAAAAAAAAAATTGAAAAAAAAAAAAAATTAATACAAATGTACAATTAATTTGACAAGTGTCGGACGTAACAATGTCTGTCCTCGATGGGTGGTGAACAAAAACATCATTTTGTAACGAATTGTGAAACCACAGAAAGTTACTTCGGAAGCAGAATGAAAGTTGGTGATCAATGTATGTTAAACCTAAACATGAAATCAAAACAGGTTTACAACCACAGAAAATAAATGCAAATCATAAACGTCTATAGAAAACTCTGTCCCACTGTTACGGGCGAATTGTCGATCATAATTTCACTTTTCTGATCGCTACACGTCATCTGGTTTATATTCCGTCATCGGATTTGCCAAGTTCCGGTTGGTTTCCACATGATACGAATTACATGATTGCCGAAATTTGGTCAGCAGCAGAGATGGCGCCAAAGAAGAAGGATGCTTCCACGTCTGTCTCGGTAAGTGTAAATGTTACAGGCGACCCAATGTTACGGGCGAACATTGAATTAGTCGATTTATATACGATAGTTCAAGTTTTCACCAGTTCGGCCACAAGTACTTTAGAAAAGTAATTCAAACACACAATTAAACACGACTACTAGAGTTTGCTTCGCACTATGAATAAGAACAAGCTTTGCGCAAAGCCTCGCATAGAAAAAGTTGGACAGACTTACTTCGTTCGGGCATAACATTGAGACAGACATTTTATTGTCGGTCGTAACAAGTGGACATATTATCTGACGGTCGGACAAACTGGTAGACAGACGACTTCGGTCGGGCAAAATAGTATATATTTTTATGGACCTACCTGTAATATCATTCATTTATTTAATCTATCACATTTGACAATGTCGGAAATACGTATTCCTTTTCAATTTATCATTTTACATCGATAAATTAAAAAAGTATTCACTATTTTCCGTGATGTTATTGAAAATAAAATTATCGCACAACGGGTCCACATCGAACATGTCAAAGAGCAAAATATAGACGTTTTAAACAAATCTTTAAATATATTATACAAAGTAATAAATAAAATCAACAAAAATATATATAAAAGTAATCAAACTTACATAGATGGGTTATTAGTTCCATATGTTCGTGTATCGCGTGTAATGCAAGTCAAATGACATCTCGGCTTTCATCGCCTTGAATTCTCGGCTCGGACACAATGTTTAATGCCAAAATATATGCATGAAAAATCTTTGTCACAGCTCATAACCTAGCACGATGCATTCACGAAGTTCCATATTTTTAATATATATCATGATTTCCTGCTTAAAACGTTCAGAATAATACGATTTAACGAAAATCTTTCGTCAACTTCTGAAAATTATCAAACACGAACTTGTTATCACAGCTGTAATTTGATTGGCTGCCTTAGGTCACGTGCTCAAATTTGGCTAATCGCGAACCTTGTAGCAGATTTCGGCAAGAAAGCCTCATAAGAAACCAATTTTATTCCAATGACATCGATTGTTATAACTACGGAACAAAAACCAGACCATGTTACGAGCGTGTAGATGGAGGAATAAGCTTTCCAGCGATGTGTCATATGCCATTCTTCAACGAACGTGTTATTCATACGAAGTCTCGAAAACGGGGGTATTTCTTCATGTTACTGAGCGGACAGCCGCTGTTATCGGGAAATGGGTGATGACAGAAACTATTTATAATTCTTTTTAAAATGATTTTCCAATTACGTAAACAATGAAAATAAAACAGAAATGGGTAAGTGGATTTTATGAAATCTTATATTTGCCGAAAATCGTCAAGTTTTCGCTTCCTTGGTCCTTAATCTGGATGTTAACTACGTGTTAGCTTACATTTTATTTATTTACAACAAACTTATGCATTATTTTAAATAATGTGAAAAACATAACTTTCATATTTATAAAATATAGGATTATAGGATCAGACCTTTCAATTGATGTATAACATGTAGCAGCAAATATATCTTACAAGCAGATATCTTCTTTGATGAATGTTGGCTTCATCTATCACACAAGAGTCTCTGGGAACTTGTGAGTGAGTGAGTGAGTTGGGTTTAACGCCGCTTTTAACAGTATTCCAGTTATATCGTGTCCCAGCAGTAAACACTTCTGGTTGACTGGTGTTGAAAGAGTTAATTGACTCATTTATATCTTGGAGCTACTTTAATCTTCCATGGGGCTATGTAAAACATGTTAAACATTTACATACAAGGGTTAAAACAATAAATGACATGAAAAAATGAGAACATGAATTTAGGTTAGGATGGATGACTTTTTGTAAATTAAAACCTGAGAACTGTACTGTTTCAAAGAAAATTATACCTCCATATAAAAATTACTCATTCAAAACTATATTATAGTTTTTTTAATTTGAATGCTGACATTTTTCAAAGTAGGGCCGAACAAAATTAATTGTGCGTTTCCTAGATTAGGATTTTAAGTGTGTAGGTCTACATCAAGCTTTATAAAAGTGAGTTTAAATTAAAAAAATAATGATAAAAAAATTCCCTATTCCTTAATCCTGGGAACATTTCATAAAAAATCAAAATATCTCCCCCCTCCCCTTTTCAGTTTTTTTAGCTTGGCGTAACAGAATATAAGTGTTGTCCTAGTTTGTTTATGAATAAAATATAGATCTATATGTTTATTGACAGTGCAATACGCATTGCTAAGGGTAACATTTTGCTTTATTGTAAATTAATGAATGTACTTATTGGTCTCATTAGAATGGTGAGAGGTGTAGGCGATGGGAGGCAGCTGAAAAAAGGTGACCAAGACTACATCGAACAGGAACGAAAGCGAAAAGCTGATTATAGGGGTCGGATGAATCCTGAACAAGTTGACAGGTAACAAACTTCAGAATTAACTTTGTGTTTTCCAATATAAAAACAAGATGGAGTTACTCCAAGTCAACAAGGGAAATATATATAGTCCGATATGTAGTAGATTAATAGATGGGTCCATTTCTCTGTTTATCAGTATGATCGATCACATTGGACTCAACAATATACTTTTGGTTTTTAACAAAATGGAAACTCACATCCTCCAAAGGGAAGTAATTATACACAATATCATTACAAAGTCTCATTTATGCTTAATAAATTAATCTTAAAAATAAAATACCACCTGGATATTAAACAAAACTTCAAATTTATATTTACTATATGGATGTGCTTCACTTTGGTAAAAGCATGGTAAATTACAATTATTACTTGTCTTGATACTTCCTAGATCACAATTAAATTCAGTTATACAGTCTATATTTTGCTTATTAGAACCACTGTGGCAAAGTGGTTAAGTCTAGAACTCAAAATCCACAGGAAATTTGGGTCTGGGTTCAAATGAAAAGTTGGCCGAGTTTGTGGCAGCCCCATCTAAAATTAACCTGGTTGTTCATGGGGCAATATTTACATTTTCAGTCTTCTGTCTTCAGTCTGCTTTCGTGAATCCTTCAATAAAATTAAACTGTGCAGCTTGCTTATGAAATCATGTTGAAGTGGCAAATACATATTATATATTATAATTTTGATTTCAACAGGTGGATGATTGGCCATGGGTGACTTTTTTCACTAAAGTGAAACAAAGATGGCTGGCAAAGGACATCCACCACACTGTCATGTTCGAAGACGTCAGAATAGCAATTGATTGGACATTATTTGAGGTAGGACATTTAATAGAACTTTATCTAACTCAAAATATTGCATCATATTTCTGACTGTTGTACTGAAAGAATTCAAGTTTTTGGTCATGAATATAATGTTGTTTAAAGGGACAGTCCCCGAAAACACTGTTTTTATGGTTAGATATGTTAGCATGTGCTGTGCATTGGAGCTGTACAACAATTTCAACAATAATCTTCATCTGCACATAGATAATAACAAAATAGCAAATTAGATTCACTATGAATGGACCGATTTTCACCAAACTTTACCATGTGTTGCACAAGTGTATCTTGCAAAAGTGAAGTGTAGCATACTAAAGTAGGTCACCTTACCTATATATTATTGACTTATTATCTTTCGATGAGGGACTATGAATTGCCTTGCCTTGTATGTTAATGTTCTTCAATTTTTAACATTTTATTGGTGATGCAATTATATATATCTTGTTGATACAGGAGATGACTAACGCCCTGTCCACCTTTAGAATGGACTACGAGATCAAGAACCAAGAGGACACCAATAACCAGTTTCTGAATAAACATAAAAAGGAGTATGGCAAAAATGATTTTGGTCATTGAGATAAACAATATTCAAGATACAGGATAGCTAATGTTTAATTGCACAGTGGAAGACTTTCAAAGTTAAATTAAATTAAATTAATTTTTCTAAAATGATTTTTCATGTGGATACAAAATAGCAGCAATTGTACAGCTTTGCCTAGGAATAATTTATTGTGTCGCAGTTTTTTCCTGATTAAGTCTTGCGATAATACTTTGAATTCATCAACAATTTGAAGTGGTTTGTAAAATATTCAGTACAATGAATAATTGTCAAACAGTTACTGAATATATAAATTATAAAGGGTTATTCCTAAATGAATGTTTGAGAGGGCTGGGATGTACATTTAAAAATATTTAATGAGTGGTGGGGATATCAAGATTCCACAATCTGTTATTTTTAATATACAACTTGCATACAGCATTATAGTTTTAAAATTTGATGGGCATGTGGGGTCCCTGAGTCTTAGAAAATATCTTCCTGCCCTGCCCACATTAATTTCTGGAAAACCCCAAACCACATTCCAGGCTGTTGGGAATCTTGTCTACCGATAAACAATTGTACTTGGAATGAAATTATGTATTAATACAGTAATGGAATGTGTTATCACTATATATTACAACTTCATTACAATGTAATTACCCTGGTGTGTTAATTAGTAACTTAATGTCAAAATAATATCTAGAAACAAAAGAATTTTCTTCTAGAACATATTTCGGGCATACCATGAGGCACAAGCATTTTTTTTTACAAAGTAGACACATTTATAGTTGGTTGTAAAGAAGACATAATTGCATGATACTTCATGAATTTTTATGCTAAATTAGATATTATTGATATGCATATGATTTAATTCAGAAATAATGAACAGCTGTTATTTTCCGGCGATGGGACAGCCTTATTGGGTTGTTTATATTGAAAAATATTCCATGGTTATAGACCAGTTAGAAATTATTTTGAGATACATCGTCATCACCATTGTAGAATTTGTGACTTGTCACACAGTATGATTTGGAATATGAAATAAAAGTGGTTTGCAGACTGTATTTTATCCTGTTTTGCTTTGTATGTCCTTTGTTCGTCCTGACATCACAAATGTCTGTCCTTTGTTCGTCCCGACATCACAAATGTCTGTCCTTTGTTCGTCCCGACACAAAACCCTGATTTTTATTTGTCTTGTGCTGCTTAAATAGTTGTAATTAACCTTTAATTGTTTGATTATATCTTAATGTACTTGTAATGTTTCATTCCATACTTCAGGGAACATTTAATTTTTCTTGTAAATTGCTATTTTAAAGCATCATGTCTGTCTCCGTTTGTCCCAACACTTTTTTATTTTTTTTTAACCTTGAAAGAGTTTCAAGACATTGATATATTCACATGTATTAATCCCATTTTGGGTGGCAAGTTGTACCCACTACCCGAAATGCAAATGAATTAAAACAGATTTATATGAAGAAAACTTAGGTTTTGTCTGTCCTCGTTCGTCCCAACATGTCTGCGTACCATCAGTGTTTTCATGTCAAAATTAAACAAACTGAGCCAGATATTATCTTCCCATGTCCAAAGATGAAAAAAAGAATGTTTAAACTTGTCAAAAATGCCGCCACCTTGTCTTTTCATAAATATCTAAATACTGACTCCAATGTAACACTTCAATGGGCATAAAAGTGAATAAGGACTCAGAAATAATGTTATAACCTATTACAATGGTTGGAATATTTAACAATTTATTGACAAGTTTACAGTTCATTTTAAGACTGTCTGTAATACTCTCAGTGGTTTGATTAATTGGTCTGTCAATATTAAGTGAAACCTCGTTCACTTGAAGACATTATATAAGTATATCATTTCTGAGGTTGTTAGGGTGGTTGGGTAGCCCAGTGGTTAAAGTATCCGCTTGTCATGGCAAAGGCCCAGGTTCAATTCTCCACATTTGGTACAATATGTGAAGTCGGTTTTATGTGTACTCAGCCATTATATTGTTAATCTCGCTTGCTCACTCACTTTCACTAACTCACCTCAACCACTCACTCACTTAACCACTCACTCAACCACTCACTCACTCACTCAACCACTCAACCACTCACTCAACCACTCACTTAACCACTCACTTAACCACTCCCTCAACCACTCACTCACTCACTCAACCACTCACTCAACCACTCACTCATTCACTCAACCACTCCCTCAACCGCTCACTCACTCACTCAACCCCTCCCTCAACCACTCACTCACTCACTCAACCCCTCCCTCAACCACTCACTCAACCACTCACTCACTCACTTAACCACTCTCGCTCAACTACTCACTCAACCACTCAACCACTCACTCACTCACTCACTCAACCATTCACTCAACCACTCACTCACTCACACAACCATTTACTCAACCACTCACTCACTTAACCACTCACTCACTCAACCATTTACTCAACCACTCACTCACTCACTCACTCACTCACTCAACCAGTCACTCAACCAGTCACTCAACCAGTCACTCACTCAACCACTCAACCATTCACTCAACCACTCACTCACTCACTCAACCACTTACTCACATAACCACTCATCCACTCACTCACTCACTCACTCTATGACGGTGATTGTCAAACTGAGAACATTGATACCTGTATGTTAAAACTCCTTGAGCGTGTTAAACATATTTACCATTTGCTGCAAACTTTCATTGAAATTGTTTTTTTAATTTCATTTTACCACTTTTAGAAATTCTTGTAAACACAAAGGTTTTGATAGAATAGAAATAATGTTATAACCTATTACAATGGTTGGAATATTTAACAATTTATTGACAAGTTTACAGTTCATTTTAAGACTGTCTGTAATACTCTCAGTGGTTTGATTAATTGGTCTGTCAATATTAAGTGAAACCTCGTTCACTTGAAGACATTATATAAGTATATCATTTCTGAGGTTGTTAGGGTGGTTGGGTAGCCCAGTGGTTAAAGTATCCGCTTGTCATGGCAAAGGCCCAGGTTCAATTCTCCACATTTGGTACAATATGTGAAGTCGGTTTTATGTGTACTCAGCCATTATATTGTTAATCTCGCTTGCTCACTCACTTTCACTAACTCACCTCAACCACTCACTCACTTAACCACTCACTCAACCACTCACTCACTCACTCAACCACTCAACCACTCACTCAACCACTCACTTAACCACTCACTTAACCACTCCCTCAACCACTCACTCACTCACTCAACCACTCACTCAACCACTCACTCATTCACTCAACCACTCCCTCAACCGCTCACTCACTCACTCAACCCCTCCCTCAACCACTCACTCACTCACTCAACCCCTCCCTCAACCACTCACTCAACCACTCACTCACTCACTTAACCACTCTCGCTCAACTACTCACTCAACCACTCAACCACTCACTCACTCACTCACTCAACCATTCACTCAACCACTCACTCACTCACACAACCATTTACTCAACCACTCACTCACTTAACCACTCACTCACTCAACCATTTACTCAACCACTCACTCACTCACTCACTCACTCACTCAACCAGTCACTCAACCAGTCACTCAACCAGTCACTCACTCAACCACTCAACCATTCACTCAACCACTCACTCACTCACTCAACCACTTACTCACATAACCACTCATCCACTCACTCACTCACTCACTCACTCACTCACTCACTCACTCACTCACTCACTCACTCACTCACTCACTCACTCATTCACTCACTCACTCAACCAGTCACTCACTCAACCACTCAACCATTCACTCAACCACTTACTCACCTAACCACTGAAACCACTCATCCACTTACTCAACCACCCACATTAATTTCTAACACTGTCAGTGTACGACGTGGTCAATCACAAACTCTAATGTAAATAACATGACAAGAACTCAAAGTGCATACTATGCTGTAAAAGATGAAGCAATTATTTTCAAAGAAGCATATGAGAAGAGGAGACGTCATAAAGAAAGATAATTGAACAAGCATGTTGACAACCGTTACGGGAAATGAGTCTTCTGATTGATTTGAAGGTGCTTCATCAGTCAAGACATTGCTCATGTACAGGTCACTGTGACCTACATTTTGGGTTCAGTTACATTCCTAATTTGTATTCACAGCTAATGAGTTTCACTGATTATAGATTATCTCCCCTGAATGACTGAGGAACATATATATATGTAATATGTCTGAGCAAGTAACTAAGGCATTGATTTTTGCTTGGAGTGTAATTGGCAAGATTAATGCCCTACAACAGTCTTGTAGTTATCGGTGTTCAAGGAGGAGCAGGTCTGAAGTGAAAGTTGGCATTTAGTGAATTCTGAGTTGATGCAAATGGCTTGGATGGGAGACAAGGGGAGATAACTCCTATCTGTGCAAATTCTTGTCATCGGACCCTGATTGTGATTATGGTCAAATTGTCAGGAACTGTATGCTTTGTCTGTTTAGTTGGTAGTGGGTGTGTTAATTAGTGTTGGGGCAATACTTCTCAGATGTTAAAAGTGATACCAGACGTTAAAAGTAATATCAAATGTTAAAAGGGATATCAGATGTTAAGAGATATCAGATGTTATAAGTGATATCATATGTTAAAAGTGATATTAAATGTTAAAGTAATATCAGATGTTAAAAGTGATATTAGATGTTAAAAGTGATATCAGATGTTAAAAGGGATATTAGATGTTAAAAGTGATATCAGATATTAAAAGGGATATGAGATGTTAAAAGTGATATCAGATATTAAAAGGGATATTAGATGTTAAAAGTGATATCAGAGATTGATAGTGATATCATATGTTAAAAGTGATATTAAATGTTAAAAGTAATATCAGATGTTAAAAGGGATATCAGAGATTGATAGTGATATCAGATGTTAAAAGGGATTTCAGAAGATGGATGTAGGATTTTGATGAGGATATTAGATGTTGCTATCAGATGTTGATGGGTATATCATATGCAGGAATATCGACTTGAGACATGGTTGATTAGGAAGGAGGCCGAGCTCCACACA